AAGTTTATGATATTTGGAAATCATGTAAAGGAGGAAGAGGTAGTATCATCTATAGATGGAGTATTGATCGAAAGAGTTACAGAATTCCATTTTCTGGGTGTAATAGTGGATGACAAGTTAACATGAAAATCTCATATTGAACATGTTTAAAAAAAGATGGCCAAAAGTATATATATACTGGGTAATGCGATATATATATTAGATTACAAGGCAATGCAAATATTAGATTTTTCATTATTTTTACCCTGAGTTATTGTGTCGAAGAATGCGGGAATACATATGCGAATAATATAAAACCATTATACTTATTACAGAAGAGAGTGCTATGAATTATGCATGATGTTAAATGTATGTCTGTACTCATGTCTTTCTTTTTGTTTGCAGAAGTGATGGCTTCAGTGAAGCTGATTCCAAAGCCAAAAGAGCCACTGCTCCTCCCAAAGCCAGGTGCCGATGGCTGTATTCACTGTGCTGTGGTGGGTACTGCAGGAATTTTGAACGGCTCAAAAGTGGGTGCAGAGATCGATGCTCATGATTACGTTTTTCGGTACGTAAGAGGTACAAAACAAACCTGTTGTTAATGTTCTTTAAACTGAAGGGAATTGTAAGGGTCAAATGTCTCAAAATCACATTGCAGTTTGGTGCAGCGCACAGCAATCACTTAGATTTGATGTAATCTCTAGGGACACACAACATTCAAAAATCCAGAAATATATACCTAATATATATCAAGTGTGTATTTCTATAATATGTGTTCTATAATATTTCTTCAATCAGTGATGAGTAATAAGGTTCTAGCTTGATTGAATGCTTTCTTCTTCTTCTTCCTTTTTTTCTCATAAAGCAACAAACTATTTATCCAGGTTAAATGAAGATCTTCTAATATAGTGAGATGCCATTTCCTCTCCAGCCTATGAGTACTTCTGATTTGAGGCTTTTTTCAGAGGAGCCTCAGTATCCAGAGTCTTACGTAGTAAATATGTAATATTATTAATAAGATGATCAACTGTGAGAGTAGAGTTCAGCTGGCTGCTCTGCTCTGTGGTGGCACAATGACTTGAGGAAGATAACAGTGGAGGAATTATATCCTTAAACTTAGTTACCGCACTTTCAGAGAGACGTCTACTGTGACAGATGCATTAGCCCCTGCTGTGTAATGCACTATTGTAAATTTAAACGTTACTAGGAAACGATCAGACAAAAGAGAGTAATATTGTTCCATTTGTCAGAACAAGATCTAGAGTGTGAAAGTGTTGGGTGGGTTCTTTTATATTTGATCTGAGCTGAGCATTAAAGCAGATAAATGTCTGAGAAAATCAGAAGTTCTGAGTAAGGACCAGGTGGCTGAAATACAGTCCAACAATGAATGAAACACCATTTCAAATAAAGTGGTAGACAAACATCATGCATTGACTGACATATGTTACTCACTGACCGCTCTCAAGCCGTCAGGCTGGGCAAACAAAAAGCTCCAGCGTAGAGTCAACATCCTCTTCTGTATGCTCTGTACACAGAAATATCAATTTTTCTATAACATGAGCACCACTGTTAAGTTTGCAGATTATACAGTTCATTGGATGCATGACAGACAACATTTGCAAATAATAACATAGTCCTCAACACCAGAATCAACCAGGATGTTGCCTAAATGATATTTAG